ACCTCGCCGCTTTCTACTGCGGTGAGTGTTGTGGGTTCGAGCCTCACATGGGACAACATTTTGTGTAATCCACAAAATGTTATTCTAAGTCTGGGTGTTCTTTGTGTTTAATTTCTGAATGTTTGTAAAGTCACAGGATATGTATTTGGTCTTTAGGGTGTAATGTTACTTACGGTTGGTAGTTGTTAATAAAGCAAACAATCATTTTCACCGATATAGTTTTAATGTTCACACTACACACACACGATACAAAATTTACATTTAGAAGGCACAAGAGAATAGTTAGAACGGTAGGAAGTATATAGATCACAACAGAGAAAACACAAATACGATTAACACTATATAAGTAAATATATGGAACAATATTACAACAGTTATTACCATATTTAGCGCAGGGCACCGAATACAATAATCGTGGCGGTAGCAAGCTGTGACTGCACACAGCTTGCTGCCGCCACGATTATTGTCTGTGCAACGTAAAAAATGTTCTTCGCGTCTACCTACATAAGGCCGAAGTGTTAAAAATGTTTCTGGATGGACACCATTAATTATAATAATGTAATATCTGTTTATTTATAATGTGTATTGAATTATATATTGTAATTATAATGTAAATGATTATTAAGTATATATTAGAAATATTGTTTATGGTGAAAGTAAATTTACAATGTATGTATATTCCTTTTGACTGCCTTGTCGGTGCAGTAGGTAGCGTACGCAACTGCTGTGTGAGGTCTTGGGTTCGATTCCCGGGTCAGACTAAATGTTTGTATGATCTGCAAATATTTGTTTCAGTGTTTTCTATGTATAATATGTATGTACAAAAAGTATATAAGTATTCTATCAGTCAATCTAGCTTTCATAGTACCTACAAGCTCTGCTTTGTTTGAAACTAGAGGGCGTTGTGTGTTAGATGTCCGAAATACTTATTTACTCCTAGTGCAAAAGTTATCTTTTTATTAAAAATATAAAAATGTACGCACCTGAACCCTAAAACATTTTACTGATCTTTTGGTTGGACGTGTAACAATTTTTTTACTTACCTGGTAAAAAGTTAAATAAAAAATAATAATAAAGACATGTACACATTTGTTTCAATTACATTGTTACAGATATAAGGTGCGACATGTTGTGGAGAACACGAGGGGCGCGAACGAGTTGAACCATCCCTCCACATGTCGACAAAACTCTGCAGTCAGCAGAAAGGTAACATTATTATTAAATTTTAATTTCCATAAAATCAACAAAAGTGTATTATACAACTAGGTTGAGTTTTAAGCACACTTTATACCTGATGGTAAACGTTTACCAGTGAATAAAAACACTCAACCACTAACTGTTATTCTCACTATTCAGTGATGTCACGAAGAAGCAAAAAAAAAATGGCGAAATTGACAAGTAATCATTAAAAGATCATTAAAAATATAATTGGGCACGGATACAAATACGGACCTCAAATGCATTTGTCGTATAATTCCTGTTCTGAAGTTTAAACGACAATTGAAGTTAAGTAAGTTTATTTTAAATTAGGTAACTATTTTCAAACAAACATAGCAAAGATTTAGGGCTTTAACGCGTAATAAATGTAGTCAAATAGTACCTTATAACTATAATATTTAAATATTATATTCCAGAAAAAATAACTTAGAATTTCATCCTAATAAAATATAATAATGTAAAAGATCCGTCCAAGAAATAAAAATATACGATCACGGAAACATGATTTTTTCTTCCGCGGATTACCACGACTATGGTTACTCACTAGAATAAAGATATTATCCACGTGCGGTGTAGATAAGTCATAGGTACACCTGCGGTGACGCTACGATTAATACACCAGTCAGGCGATTTGCATGCAAACAGAATAGAATATCTTCTGTAACAAAGCTCAGTAGTTGTTGTAAAAACCTTGAGATAAAGATAAAGAAAATACTTTTATCCTAAGAGTCCATTAAGACTACGTACCTAGTATTAACTATATTTTATCTACTACAATACAGATATATGCATATTATATCCATAATGTTTATTTTAATAGATAAAGTATATTTGTATATTATTATAGTGTAGCCTCTATCGTCTGTGTTATGAACAAAACCCAATAAAACTAAAGATATTCATCGAATTTATCGTAAATGCAGTCTCAGTAAAGTCGACAACGAGCTTATATTAATACGATATTATTCTGATTGTGTTGAAGATTAGGTCATAAAATAGTAAAAAAGTTTCCATCAATTTATTTGGCTTCTAATAACTTTATAAAAAAAAATAGAGTTTGACCGCTAGGCGCCGCTACTGTCGACAATCCCAAATGAATGTTGTCGGCAAATTCTGAAAGCAATGAGTATAAAAATAGGTCTCGCGTCATAAAATTCGATATTTCCCCAGACACCACCTTTTCAACTTTGTGTGTCGCAAGTAACTAGAATAATAAACCTTTCGCAACTGGTTTCTTTGTCTCAATATATTCGCCCAATTCATTTTACTCGAGCACAAATATATTTTCATGATAAGTAAATAAATATTGAAACCTTTGTTTCTGAACCAATTTTCTAGCAATATTGTTTATTTCCTACGGCAAAAACCTTACTTTTGCTAAATAAATAACTGCCTTATGGAGTGTTATTGTAACGGTCTTTGTTGTAAATGAATATTATAGATATAATGTGATTATTTACCCTAATTTACGATACTAATTTTGAAAAGCTGTTTTACATTGATTTACACTGGACATTATCGTGAACGTAGGTATTAAAATTAATTATTTAAATGTTAAGTCCTACTTAAATAATTGATTTTAATAGAATATTATTTGAAAGAGGTTGTAGCCCATGTAACATCACTCTACAACCCATGGGAGTTTAATAATGACTATAAATTCAGGCGAAACTTTGGAGAAAAACTGGTTAAAATTATGTAGTATAAAATATAAGAAAAACAAAACACTAACACGGTCAGTAACGCTCAAGTAAATTCCCTGGTGTTCCAAATAACACCTTCGGACTATGGAAATCGTTTACCATCAGATGTTTTACCTATACGCTAGCATAAAAATATTGTTATTTTATTCAACCGCAAATACTACCGCGCCGGGATGGCATGTAGTCTGAGCGCCAATGACTCGCATATCAAGTCTTATTGACGTCACACTCATAACCGTCATACAACTTTTAAAAGTAGGTCATGTATTCAACCCGCGCTTACAGCAAAAAAATATAATGTGGGGTCGGCCTTGCGACACGCTCATTACCTACCCTAACAACTATACTACGTTGGTATAACCCAGCATTCGGTAAGAAAAACATTTTCTAAATTATTTATTTTGATTAAAAAGATAATTTGCATATAACGCGACACATTGGCAAGTTATTATGAAACATTGAAATAGTAGGTTGTTAACCAGCTTATTTCAATATAGTATTTTAAAAATAGCGCACCTGGCAACTATCAATACACAAATTTTATATTTTTGAGGTCCTGCACTTCTCAAGCCTTACGATCTCGTTCAGAGGGGCCTCTTCCACAGCATCAATACTATTAGAGATCTCAAAGTCGCTAGAGACCTCAAAAATATTAAAAAGCTTTCTTTCGGTAGTTAGTAACAAATATATCTATGTAATACACTTCAAAAAGCAACAAAAACATCGGTTTGTTTTTAAAATAGAACACGCAATCTAAGCAGTCTAATTGACATTCCACCTCAATCTCGCGCTTCCGTAGATCAATGTATGAGGTTTTTATAAAAATAACTGAACTGCAGAACTATTGCTTATATGCTTAGGTATATATTACATTTCCAACTTTTGATTCTATTGCTTTTTAAAATTTTATAAAACTATTTACCAACGTACGTTTGCCAACTTATTTTTACCTAGTGTCGGTAATCCCATCCGGCTATGTTTTCATTGCACTTCTAGAAATCCGTAATTCAGAATTTACACGGATAAAATAACTGATGTTATATAAATTCTTCCATATGAAAATATATGTATCTATGTGGCTTTTAAAGGGTATGTGGCTATTCACTGGCACAATTTGATATTTGAAATATTTATGCTTCAATAGTAGTGGGAAAGTGACGTTGCAATTGATAAACGTTTTAGATAGGATTTTTTTGGATACCGTAGAGAATATTAGTGCTTCAATGTAGCAAACATTATAGGTTAGTGTTGCCACAATATAGAAAGCAGGTATGTTCTAGTGTCTTTATAATTTAACTGGTTTTTTGAAATACCACAAAATTATATTATTGTAAATCACGCTTTTTGCTTACACTGTATAGTTTCATTATTATGTATACTGTGCTTATACTGATAATGGTTAAACATTTTGTAAAATGTAAAAATTCCCTTTAAAATTTTACAAGTATTGTTTAAATATTTGAATACGAAAATTTAAAAATTGCAAGATATTTTTTTTAGTTTAGTTAGTTTTTAGTTTTCATCTACAAAGTGTTTCTTAAAACGTATGTAAAAATAAATTATTATTCTGTGAAATAAAACATAATTCGATACTCACTGTAAACAAGACAATGGGAGAGTTTCTTTCCCCACTGCTATTAACCTTAATTTCAAGCTGTTTACGAAACAAGGCAATGTAACCAATTAGATATTCAAATTTTATTCCTAAAATGTTTTTGAACTATAAGTATACGTTTGTTATTTTGCGAAAATTTACAATAACTTAAAGAAAATTGTTTGTTATTTTGGGAAGAGTTCATTTAAAATCTTGTTGTTTTTTCTATGTAGAAAAGTATAATCTATAAAATTAATATATTTATTAAATCTAATAGGATTATTATTTAGCATGTCGAGTTCTTCGGGTAAATAAAATTGTCAAGAAAATGTTTTGATCCAACAAAATTGACATATTTTTAAAATCTTTACGAACTATTTAAGTAAGTTTTAGTTATTTTTATAGTTTTAATTTTCTTTATGAATTACAGATGTCCTAATATGGGTTGGTCATGCGTCGTGGCACGCGCTGTTGCCATCTTCCTCATGCTCAGCAGAGCATCAGCACTCACTTCAGACATGTAAGTAGGAGCAGTCTATCATTCCATCAACTTGAGATATTCGCACGATGGTCATAGAATATTTAAATTAAGAATACGACATAATAAAAAAAAACATTCTTGTAACGTGCATACATATTCATTTTTAACCGACTTCAAAAAGGAGGTGGTTATCAATTCGGATGTTTTCATACGTGTATCTTCGGCCATAACTTTGTCATATATAGACGGATTTTTTAAATTATTTTTTTGTTACAAAAGGGTTTATTCCAAAATGGTTCCATTTAAATTTCGTATAGACCTGATGATGAATTTTGAAGACAGATAAAGGAACTCTTCAAAAATGACAGCAAATCACCCGCAATTGCTGCTAGGTGTTTAGTGCTCTGTTAATATTCGGTCGGTTCAACTTTTTTTAAAAGTATTTTCTTTTTACTATTCAATAAACATTTTCTTTATTAATCCTCCTTACTACTTTTCGAAACGAAAGCGACCTAGTAATATTTGTATATTATTGTATTCATCTCCAAAAATACCTTATTCAAAGGTAATAAACTTGTGTGGGTCATGAGCGTAATATAGTAGCTGTAGATGATGATGTATCGGGCGTGAAAGGACGTATGGCGAGCGACAGGCGTCGAACCGTATGTAATATGCTAGCCGTCCCACAGCCGTCGAACCGTAAAGTTCCTCTCTCCATTTATAGACCCTCTGACACTGGGAAGCTGGAAATTATTTGTACGAATATACTCTTTATTCACTTTTGTTAAATAAACGTATAAATTATTATAATATTCATTAAAAATAAATAGCTATGAAAGTTTAATATTCACTCTTCTTATCAGAGGAATAGGAACGCTACATTTTAGCTTTTTTGTGTCTCCAGTACAAAAAGCTAAAATGTAGCGTTCGGCAGAACGTTAGCCGGAAATATCGTCTCCTCGAAAAAAAAAGAGGCTTCGCGGCCACCCCTTACAAAGGTTTCATTTCCCTCGAGGAGATATTGTAGCCGAACATCAGCATCATTGAATTACTTTAGGGACGCAAAACATTCAACTCTCTTTAATAATTTTAATTGACGTATTTCTCCGCCTATTGTAAGGCTAAATTAAGGAAATATCTAACCCAGCTAAGGCTGTTACGCTTGTGCTAATTTTGAAATGAACAAAGACAAAGCAACAATAGTCTTGTCTGGATTATTTGAATTCCCTACAAGCAGCAACTCTGCTTGCCTCATTGTTGTAAAATTTACTTTGGCTCTCAGCTTAATCAGTTTAATGTATGGCACAAATTTATAGAGAATATTTGTTAAAACAATGAATCCTACTTTCTAAACATATTATTTTCCTTATACAGTGTTACGGCAAGGATTGATGAAATAATGGAAATTGATTTTTGTTTTATTGGATAATACTTTTTATAGTGTAGGCACATATTTTCAAATAATATAATTTTTCAGATTGTGCAGGTATTTACAATACTGGAAATACCTTCTCCCATAAGAAATAATTTGTTTATCAGTCAATTTTCAAATTCATTTGATAACTTTCCAAATAGCATACATACCCTAAAATATTATTACAGATTTCTGTAACAACCAGTTTATTTGTTTATCCAATTATCGTTCATCGTGTCATTTTGCACAACAGAGAAATAGAGTATCATCATGATACAAAAATGAAGCAAGAAATGGTAAAAATACTTCCACGAGAGTAAAAGATAGTATCAACCGAATAAAATCTATTGATACAATCTATTTTACCTTAGTGTCAGGTCCGTATTTTATAGGTATCAATTTAGGCAGATAGGACCTAGTTAGGAGCGGCGTCGATCTGTGGGGCCTGAATTTACATAGCTCGTTCCAGACCCTAAGCCCTAGACCAGAGTGCCTAAGGCTGGCTTTCGGGGTGGGTTTTAGTGGAAACACCACATACTCCTGGCTCCTATATCCCCAAGGAGCCGAAGATTTTCCACAAAAATAAAGGTATCAATTTAGGAACTGGTCATAATAGTAATATTAGATGATTGACTAGTAAATTGTTCATTTAAATCGACTTCTATAGATAGTTTCGTAATTTTGTAATAATAACTGATTTTTCAAAAATAATATTCAATTATTTGGATAGTTTTAATCATGACGAAATGACGAAAATCACCTACGATTTAAGTCCTTTCTTGTAAATGCGATACTTTTTATCGGCAGTTTAAAAAAAAGTTTAAATAGTTATGAAATATAAGTATGCTCTATTAAATATATACTTCTTTCAAATATATATATGTTTGTTATTCCAAATAACAAAATAAAATGCTATTATACTTGTAAATATATATATAACTTCTATTTAGATGATAAAGTTGTTAGGGATTGATGCTGCTCACTCTCACATTTGAAAGTGATGAACATTTAATTTTTTATTGTAATTCGTATTTCGTTTGTTTTCAATTTGTTTATTTTAATTAGAATTGTATAGTTTCTTTATTGTGTATGTAAATGTGAGTATAGTGTAGGCTGGTAATGTAAATTCATATTTTAGTAACTTTCTGGTAGTTTTGAGTGTTTCCATGGCCTGGAAAAAAAACCCTTTCGGGAGCACAAAGGGAACAGGAGGGGGAACATCTACACGCCGTGAAATGCCCGAGGTACGTCGAAGTAAAAGGGATTTTCTTTCTAGGGTATATCTGGTTCCACGGCTATTAGTACCCGAGACGGCGTGCGGTTTTAGTCGGTTTCCTACTCAAGTGTCCTGCAGGCGGCAGTCATGTTCCGGGTTGTTGATCCTGACCATATCGGTTAGGCTACACAATGGCTGGGGCTCATATGCCGTCTGTATGGATGGGCCGACTCAATACTATAGTCCTTTCTTCAAAAGACCAACCCAGACCCTGTACTGCACTAGTTCTCTTTAACATTGTACACGGACTTAAAAAAAAGACATCTCTCTGGTTTGTTTCGTCGTTTCTTCCCAGAGCAAGTCTTAGGAATTGCTGGCGCCTTCTTGCTGTAAAGTCCGACTTGTAAAAATATCTGAATAGATTTACGTGCAGAAATAAATATAATTGCATTTCTCTTCATATCATTTCATTTTATATTTACTGTTTGTTTTGCAATTATATCAATTTGAGTCAATAACATAGAACATGTGTGTGAAAAATTTATTAAAAACTGAAATTATCTTTGAATCGTTTAAAACACTAAGAGATCGAACAATAAAATACCTACCATTAGAATTATATTAATAACAAATGGCGATCTGATTCCAAACTAGACAGAAAATCTGGTAATCAGACTTCTGATACCCGCTCTGATACTTCTGATAACCGCTCCTCCTGATTCAAGGAAGGGGGACTCAAGTGACTGCAACGGACTTGTGACTCTTAAGTTGCAGGTATCCATAAGTGGCGCTAGTCACTTACCATCAGATGATGGTAAGCAGGAGGAGGAGGAGGCATAGGAGTGCAATAGAGCAGGCAGGTCATCTGATCTGTCTGCTATATTATTCTCCTATGCCATAAAAATAACAAAAGGAGTTATTTTCGTTTTTTATGTTATCGTTGTCAACAACAACTGTTCCTGTGAATCTATACTAATATTATAAAGCTATATATCATCACGATAAGATCAATAGGAGCGGAGCACCAATGAAGAATGTTTAAAAAACTGATAAAATTTATTACTATTGAGAAACGCAGACGAAGTTGCGCGGGTCAGCTAGTTTAACATAAACATATTTTAATTTTATTTATAAATGTATTTTCAAATTAGGTTAAATTAAAGTTTAGTGATTGTTTACAGATTTGCGGCGGGAAAATCCGACAAAGAAATACTAGACAACCTGCTGAAAAATTCCCGCTATGACAAAAGACTGCTACCACCAGTAGACGGTAAATATTAGCATTTCCTGATTGCCTACTTATATTATTACAATATTAGTAAATATTTATTACTTAAAACTTATACATATACTTATATATATTACCCTATTACATGTATCCCACTTTAATACTTACATAAGTATGTGTATCCCATATAGTAGAATAGAATAGAATAATATTTAGTTCATTCGTGTTCACCCGTGTTCGTAATTCATTGTGGTACATTGTAGTTGCATTGATGAGAAATAAGTTATAAGACTGACGCGAAAATAGATCAAAACGATCTTCGAAAGAGATATTATATTGTGTCATAAATTTGAGCCCAATCGTTGCATTGCTTTTTGCGTTTTTAAGCGCACACAAACTTAACATTTTAATATAATATATAAGATGATAAGTAGGTTACACGAAGTTGATGTAAAATTACAGATCCAGAATTCTGTTGTGGTCTAACATCGCCCAACGACTCTCTGGCTCAAAATACTGTTGGGCTTTCGTCACTTCGGCCTCGCTCGCACAATCGTGGTGCGTTGTGTTCAATGTTTCTGAAAAGAGAAATCCTTACACTATCCAAACTGTAGTAATCTTTGTCTTATATACCTTATACGTCTTGCCAATAATTCCTTGCACGCATCTCCATATTTTTATCTCTCTCACGCAATTGTAGATACCATAATAATATGCTTTAGATTATTTCTAATAAACTTTATTAGTGTAAACTATGCGCTAAGTCCTATTACCTATCAATATGAATGCACTTCATAGCATATTGATGTATTAGTTTAGACCACACCACTATGTTATTCTCGTGATTAAATTTTTATATAATGTACTGTGGTAGGTAGGCAGTGAAGTTGAATAATTTTACAATGAAAGTAAACACAAAACAATTTAATAATTAAACAATCCTTCAAAACATTGTTCATTTCGTTTCATGCTTCTTACCTTTGATAATTTTCTCTTTTCACAAACATCAAACACAAATTTTGAACCTAGTCTATTGTAAATTCATGTCTCCTTTCAATAGATATATTTGGATCTGCCAGTTAATTTAAACTTTTCATTTCAACACGTATTATTATGGATTATTTTAAGTCTTTCAGTTCTTATTGAAAACACATCCTACTATTATTCGTTTTCGATACTAATATAATAATTGTATTACCGCAAACTGTAATTGGAATTTGAGATGGACTGACTACAAGCACTTTAATTAGAGAAGCATGGATTGGTTAATGTGTGTCAGTGTTGTGTTCTATTATCGAAGTCGTTCAAAAGTATCAAAGTTTGACAATTATATTGTTTACAGGTGTCCTCACGGTAAATGTTAGCGTGCTACTCCTTAGCTTAGCCTCTCCGGACGAATCTAGTCTTGTAAGTACTAAGTAGACTTGAAGCTTTTTCAACCTTCTATTTGTTTTTATTAACCTCAAATTGTATTGAAACGACGATTTACAGAAATACGAAGTGGAATTCTTACTTCAACAACAGTGGTACGATCCTCGGTTGCGATACTCCAACCAATCACATTACGACTTTTTAAACGCTATCCATCATCACGAGGATATCTGGCTCCCGGATACTTACTTTATAATGCACGGCGACTTTAAGGTACCGTAAAAATGTATAACCTAATTAATTATGATAAGATATATGTTGTATGTTTTACCATCTAATTTTATAATACATGATTATTTCCACCATGCTTTCGTCTGAAGGAGTTTTCCCAGCACTCATGGGTATTTATAACTACATACAATGCTTCATGAACCTCAAAGGACCATTATTTGTATTATACAAAATATTTTAATAGCTGAACACTTCATTCTGCTCGCCTCAATTTCTTTCTGGTTTTTAAAACGTAATCTAGATAATTGGCATTGATTTTTGTAGATTCATCGTAAATTACGGTCCGATGGTTTTGGTGATAAGTAATAATGTTTTCCATTAGGAGTATTTAAGAGTATTTATTATTAATTAGTGCAAATGCTTACAATTGAATTGATTTTCAAATGGGACACTATTCTTAAAGAACCGTATTTTTCAGGACCCGATAATACCAATGCATTTCGCTTTGCGTATTTATCGCAATGGTACCATTAACTATTTGATGCGACGACACCTCATCCTATCTTGTCAGGGGCGGCTCAACATTTTTCCATTTGATGACCCATTGTGTTCATTTGCCTTAGAAAGTAGTAAGTATAATTACTTTTTTCAAGTATACTGTAATCCGTTAAAGGAAGCATGCCAATTGGCGCACCAACTTAGGTAAATAGCACCAGTAGTTTTTGACGTCTTAAACATTTTTTGTTAAATTATGTCGAATTTTTTATTAGCTTACTCTATGTACTCTACAACCGCAGATATACTAAGTGGAATAGACCGTAAATCGCAAATGGGTGCGCTACGTGGTACAATAATGATGCAATTCAAAATTTATACTATTAAAATAAGCACATTAAACAGAATACCCTCATTAAAAACAAGTGCCAATAACTATAACAAAACCATAAAAGCTAATTATAATAAAAAGTATCTATTTAAAAAAATGTAGGTGATATCGACTTAGAAATGTCCTAATCAATTGCCATTTATTTCAGTATCCTACGAGCAATCGGCGATAACGTACGTGTGGAAGAACGACGAGGACACGCTACGGAAGTCACCCTCGTTGACGACTCTCAATGCGTACCTCATCCAGAACCAAACCATTCCCTGCCCTATAAAAGCCAGTTGGAGAGGTAATATACATGGATGTTCTTATACACATATGACAACCAGACATCGCTTATAAAATCTAACCGAAATGACAATATCCTACAATATTCATACATACTTATATGTTTTCCATCCTTGACGGTAGATTAGAGTCCAACGTTTTTATTTTGAGCACATCTTATATTTTGCACAAGAGATGATTATATTGAAATTCTGATTAACTCTTTTCAGCTTGGTCTTGATTTCTGTACAAGGTTAATTTTTAATATTAAAAATTTATTTTGTGTGTTAAATAAAATGTAGTTGATGCTTCATAGTGTACGTCATGTGTACAAAATGTGGATTATGTGCATTGTTAGCTAACAGCATGTTCATGTAGGTTGTACCTACGTCCTACTTTACCGTAGGGTGTGACCACATTAGTACATTAAACACTATCTAACAGTAGATTATCTTTACACTATTCTTTTGCTATAACTAAGATCTTAATGTTCATTAGTTAATTTAAATTGTAGAGTGTAAGAATTTATTAACGTCTTTGCAAGCAGCTGAGGGTAATTCGCTTTACGAAGAAGACGAAGAGTTGACATGTAACCTTTGCCAGAGACGCTTTGAGGAGCAAGGTACTAAGTCCACGGGACGCGGCACCGTACTATCCGGTGTCGTCGTATTTCCAATTTGTTTCGCTTATGTGTGAGTAAATGCGTAATTGTGTTTAATAATGTGTTGTAAAAAGTGTGTTGTAAAATCTACTATATTAAAAGGAAGGATAAAGCTAAGTCTTTGCGATAACTATTTTCACAAAGCATTTTTGTTCTGTTAGTTAGATGCATAGTTTATTCTCATTGTTTTCATGCATGTGTTATATATAATATTCATATGAGTCTGTGAGAGCATGCGTTTTAAAATAGAATGCTGTATTTTAAATAAACGTCATGATGCTACAATGTATGTTCATAACATTATATATAAGACACAAGAACACAACACGCATTACTCATACATACAGAACAGTAGTTAGTAAATATAGATAATGTTGTTTGCTAATCATAAAATGTTAACTTTTAACAAGGCCTCTGAATTGAGTTACTTGGAATTTTATATCCTAATTCCTTGTTTTTGTTTTAGTTTTTTGGAAATAGAACGACAAACACTTAACGTAGGACGATGCTTATACTGTACCTAATAATGTTCACTCCACAGGTAACTACAGCTGTCTAAAGGTCGACTTAATATTTACTAGAGACCGTGCGTTCTACTTTACGACTGTATTTATCCCCGGGATTATTCTGGTCACCTCCTCCTTCATCACGTTTTGGCTGGAATGGAACGCGGTACCAGCCCGTTCCATGATAGGTAAAATATGTGGCTGGTAATCGGGAATGCTCTCGGTCTTGCATTGCATACATTTTTCTCTTCGTAGTTGTGGCTGGGGCTGTCGATATAACACGCTATCTGTTGCAGGTTTAGCTTCTTATCTATTTGTAAATATCTAATATTAATGATATATCCACACTAGGGCAGGATATCAGGACATAGTAAATAATTGGCAAATTACTTCTGAGAGAAATACATTCATATCTCTCTCAGAAAAAAGTTAATAACTTGTTTCGTAGTAATAGCCGGTCTGATTATCGATGTCTTGAATCCAGGTCCTGTATAAAGCCGTGCATTTCTGAGAAAAACATACTAAGATTTCAAGGTGAACACTACAGACGTGCTTTCTAAAGTTGATGGTGATGCCATTAAGTTAAAATATAAGAATAAAATTGTTGGTATATTCAAAATATACCTTTGTTTATTAAAAAATATCCCATCGTTTTTTTACATAGAGTAGTAGGCTACAAGAAGTTGTAATAATGGAGATAAGCCAGTCATTGTACACAAAGTCTAGATTCACTGTAAATGTTTTTTTTTCAGTTTTCACCTTGAAATTGAATCTAAACATTTATTCAGGATGCAGGCTGAACTCAATATTCCATCGTTCTCTTCGCCATACCACATCACTAGCCTAGTTTATTTTTATTTTGTATTCTGCTTTATATTTTAGGTAATTATAGCTGCCTTGAAGTGAATCTTATCTTCACGCGGGATAGATCATTTTACTTCACCACAGTTTTCATTCCGGGAATTATTTTGGTGACTTCTTCGTTTATTACTTTTTGGCTGGAATGGAACGCTGTACCTGCTAGAGTAATGATAGGTTGGTGTTATTATTTCATTTGCCCCATTGATTATTGAAAAACAGGGCTTGCTTTCTCATAAATTGATATCTAGTCTAGATAAATTTCGTGCTGTGATTCTGTAAAACGATGGTTTAAAGTTAGTTTTCTGAATGTTAAAATCTGATATAAATTTTACTACTTTCACTGCTGTAATATATATAGTATAGGTATGTCGACGGAGTGATGTTCTTTTCTTCGAGAGCTCCATTGGTCCAGTCGAACGTACTATATTGCGGTGCTGATGTTGATTGTACGGATATGAGCTGGAGATAATGGCTGTGATATTGTAAGCATTGCTAGTATTTATAAAATAAATATGAGGCTGAAGTAATTAACGCTGTGTTTATTATAGTCATACAATAGTAAATAAAAACATTAATTTCGCTGCAAAATTATGTAAAACACAACCAAATATCAGTGTCTAGTTCGTCTACAAACTACTTATCTTGCCACGTCCTTATTAGGTTATCAAATTCTCTTCACAACAAAATCACTTTGGCTTTATTTGACACATACTTGTTTTATCAGATCTATTTCAAAGAGAACACGAGAATATAAAAATGAAAAACAAAAGTAAACAGTAACGTTAATCGATTTCGTCTATTTTTTATTCAAACACGTATTTGATACCATTATCAAACAGAATTACTAAGTTTTAAATGTTCTACAAAACAAAATTTTAGATAAATAAAAATGTATGTGTGTATCTAGTGTACAAGACATGAAATAGACGTAATATTTGTGGTATGAATGTGATTTTAATAGTAATCAGAATAATTGGCGTCGTAAGTAGAAATCTATGTACGTAGAACATTTATAAACGCATGAATTTATCTTAATATTACATTAAGCTTACGAAATTTCTTTATCATCGGCACTAGCTTACTATGTAAGGGAAACTGAGGATGGAAATACATACTTAACTCAATCGTACTAATGCAATACTATTATGCAACAAATACTGCATTTACCACTTCGATACGTGTTTGGAATTTACAAAAAGCTTCCTCTGGTTCCAATTCCATTCAATTCAATTCAATGCAACTCTGAGGGGTCCAGAAAATATATGTTATTTCCTTCCTCATAAATTATTTTATCAAGTATATTGTAGTTTCCATTGAGTAGCACCAAACATATTTACTTTGTTGATTTTCTTTGCATTGAATTATCTAAAATGTTAACTTATTCTAAACAGGTGTAACGACCATGTTGAATTTTTTCACTACATCGAACGGCTTCAGATCAACATTACCGGTCGTGTCAAACCTCACTGCTATGAATGTGTGGGACGGCGTGTGTATGTGTTTTATCTACGCGTCACTACTTGAGTTCGTATGTGTTAACTACGTCGGAAGAAAACGACCCCTACACAACGTCGTTTATCGACCTGGCGAAAACCCCGTAACGCAGGTAAACAGAAATCCTTAACTTACTCAGTTTCAATGAATAGAGTGTTATACAAATCTGTGGGAACCCTCTTATGTTTGCTTATAACAATCTATTTCAAGAGATTGAGTTATGTGCTCACTGTCAATAATGTCTCCAGATATTACATAAATTAATTGTGTGTTATCGATGTCGTTTTTCCATATTACAATGGTTTTGTCCGCACCACAATTTGAATTGGCTCATGTTATACAAAATTGCGCTTGGAAACATAATTTTATAAAAACAAATATTTAGAATCTATTTACTTGCCTACATTAACTAATTCCCTGTAAATACACTCACTATATGTTTTGCTACTAAATGTATCCTACCCTATTGGTCCATGTAGCATACGAACCATTATCTCCTATAATAAATAAAGCACTTTGATATGTTAGTAATGGTATTAAGGTTAGTTTTAGAAACTCTATCACACATTCACGATGGAATTTTATTATAAATCCAACTTATACAACGCTATTGAATATATGTTTTGATACATATCACAATAGCAACAAATAACTTCCTTCGTGAATATTTTATATTTTTCTATCTTTACTCTTTGCAATGTTTTCTTTCAAATTCTGTAACAACAAGACATCGCATGATAAATGTGAGCGCGCTCAATAACTTTTGTACAACAGCAATGTCATGTTGTTTTTTTTTGTTTTTTTCTATAGCATGTCACACATATTTGATGTATATTGCATGTATTTACGAACTTCTATAAATTCTATACAAAACTATTGGGTAAAACCGAATTTACATCGTTTCATTTGCAACTGTCACTTCACCAGAAGACTACTTTGTATGGCCATAAATCATGAAAAACACCAATCGTGTCTCTACTTAGTTGTCATTTCTTGCTTTTCATGACAAAACCATAAATACTTATGTTAAAAGTATATTTATCTATCAACTTAGAAAACATTGCAAAGATGCACATGACTGGTTCTTAAGTGCGTATTTCATGTTTTGATTCTAAAACTCAATAAAATCATTACGTAGCGAGTCTGAGGTATCACGTAAATTAAAAATATTTAAAAAAACTTATAAAAAATAAGTGAGCCGTATCCCAGTTACATTAATTTCAAAAAAAAAGTAGATTCATAAGACCATGCACCGATAAATATTCTTTTTTTTGCCTCGTAAAATTTAAAAAACAAAATTTTAATAATTAAAATATTCTGCAATTACCGGACAACATTTTGAAACTCATTGCTAAATGTTAGACAACACACAACCGATTTATTGTTTAAACCACAAAATATTCATAATTAGTTTACAAAGTAGGTTTTACAAAGCGAATATAAGTTATTATAAATGTGGCCACGACAACCTAGTCTATGTTCACGATTGCACATCGTTAGACCATCTGTCACGAGTGAACAAACTGTGTGTGTGATGTGTTCACAGCGACTGCCTGCAGTCCTCAGCAGAATTGGCATTATACTGGCCAGCCCCTTGGTAAGAACATTCGCCGCATTCACTGGCACTATCCAGATATCGCTGGTATATTTCTTTTTTTCACCTAACTACTCTTTAACACTGACACATAAAAGCAATATAATTAATGCAATAATATTCTCTCTAAAAAAAGGTTACTTTAAAAGAAAATAAAAAGGAAATATATTTAGCTTTTGTTACCATTTTCAAACACGATAAAATTAATTAAAAAGAATGCATGTCGTTATGCTCTTATTGAAGCTTTAATTAGTAGATCTAGTACCCGTGTTACCTCTTTGTTAATTATTTGGTCCTGTACCGCACTAGCTCTGGGCCTTCTGGCAACTACTTTTTGGTGGACCCAAGCAAAATCAACTTTCTAGTTCATGTGCTTAAAGTTGAGTTTGCTGCTATCCAAAAGTGCCACAAGCACTTCTGGATGAACCATATCATCCATATTGAATTCGAATTGAATAACGTAATTAAATGCATGAAACTTAATGTCTTTAGTAACTGACGTTCCTGACTGTCGAAGCAATATATCATATATACTTTTTTTTAAGTATCACCAACTACAATTCGCCTAAATAATAATAAATTGTATATTTTTCATTAATGAAACCAATCTTAACATAACCAATTCAATTGAAAATTATTATTATTAAATATTATATTGAAATCGGTTAACAAATTCCGAAATTCTCGTGATAAATACATAAAGAAATCACTCGAATTGTGACACTCTTTTATAAGGTCGGTTAACATATAAAACAATTTTTACACTTACAAAATCAAGTACATGAGATATTTGTTTTAATAATTCATTGTTAAAGTATTCACGTATAGAACGCTTTTACAAATAGATGAATTCTACATCCAACACAACGCTTATTTAAAAAACTTATGCAGCTTCTGCGTCTTCACATAATATATATATGTATATAATTGTTTTTATTACACCACTCTTTTGGAGTCCCCTCAACCGCTTCTATATACTTCACTACCTCGATTGCTAGTAACCCTTTTTAAAGTTTTATAAATATAGAAGTTGAGGGTTAAACGGGGAAGTATGCGAGTTTGCGTGACTCTGAATTCAGTGGCCGTATAGTATATCACGCTTCGGCTAAACACTAATGTACATTTACATAGGAGGCGATGGCATTCCTTCAGTGGGCAAAGACAGAGATGCCTCAGCCGGAGTGTAGCGGCGCTGTAAGTGATGTCACTGACGACAATAGTTTGCCCCAAATCATCACATCTGACTCTGATATCATGAGACTAACGCATATATTTTTTTAACGCTGCTTTGGAATTCTACAGCCTGTAAGTATAGAATACCATCGTCATTAAAAGTCATTTCACGATTTCAAACTTTCCAAATCTTTTTTGATCTTCCCGAATGGTTTTGCAATTTTATTTTCGTTATTAACAAGTTATGTTCATTTTTTTCTAAAACTTCTTTGTTATCTGTATCACTGGGTTAAAAAAAATACATATATCGTCCCTGGCCATATTCTAAATAAAAGATTTATTTAAAAAATTGTAAACAAATAGATCGTCAAACTAATTTATCTGTGTAGTGTGTCCTACTGTTAAAAGACCTATCCTTGTACATCCTTACGACACATGTTACGACATTACTATAATGAAATATTTTCATCGATGTAATTTGTTATTGCAGGGTGATAAAAAGCGAGAGTCGACAGGTGGAGCGGACCTTGTATCGTGTACAGCGTGTGCTCCCGGCTCTTGCACCCATACCGCCAACAATGGCGGTGTCTCCGAGGTAATTTTCACTACTTCTCACCAAAGCTAACATAAAGTTATCAATGTTTTGCAAACTAACCTACATTCCCACGTTTTGTTTGAGATCACGAACACATACCATAAAGGCCTCACTGTATCGACAAATATAAAAGATTACAAGCATCGTTAGTGGCCTGTGATCCGTTGCTTTAGTACACTTGCGCCTAAATTCATAATCAGGCTGATTTTTATTTAACTGCTCTTATGCACAGAATATTATTAAAATATATCTAGGGCCGATATTTTTGCTATGGCAGCAGCAACACAACAACCAGGTTTTTATCTTTAATTTAGCTGTTAATAGAACTAAAAAAATTAAAGGATCTGATTAGTTTTTCAAGATCAACTATTCGATTTTTGTTTATATGTTTGTGACCGTATCTAGTTTGGTGTAATTTATTATTTTCTTCGTTATAAAAGAAAACCCGATTGTTTCCGTCCTATTTCACATTCTATAATTTTGAATTAAGTTGACAAATAGAATGACAGTGATTAATTACGTAATGAAATTTCGCCACAAATCATTTTTATCGTCGACACTATTCAAAAACTTAATTTGTCATTGAATCAGGCCAAATATCAGGTCATAGCCAGAAAGTTCTTGCTAAGACCTTATCACAAAGGAGTAAGTTATAAGTTAAAAATCGGTCGATACATAAGTCTTAGTAACCAGGCACCTAAGATGGCAGCTCCTGAAGTAAAGTTATAATCTACCTATCTCAATGTTTGTTGTCATGATACCCTCGTGAAAAATGGAACCTCTTGCATAAAAAACCCAAGCAAAACGATATCGTAATCTCTCTAGTTCGTAGAATCCATACAGATTTTCTCGGGTGCACGCTTAATTACAATATTTTTTTCTACACAATTAAAGGAAATAATTTTTGATCGTTTAAGAAACGAACTAAAATTGCTAGTGTCAATCAATGATTATAACACGCAATTTTTGCTTAGTTCTAGCACATTATTTTCAGCATGACAATTCAATAAAAATATGCAAAAACACTTTATGAAACTCGTGAGACTTGAGATCATTCTGTTCTCAAAGACAACTTTCCACCGCATACTTCAACAAATGTCAACAAAACTAGTAGAGCTAAAACTTAAGAGGATTTTATATGAAGAAAATTTCAAATTTTGTAAAAGAGCAAAATACAGACTAAGTTTACATAGCTTTTAAGTATTCAGGATTTATACTATATTTTAAGAAGCGTTTCAATTCCAACGGGGATCTTGTATAAAGGATTAAGTCATTCAGCCAATGAAACTTTATTTAATTAAATCTCCCAAAATATATTATTCTGTATAAGTTAAAAGTTAAAGTAAATGTTTTTTCGGCAACTTTTTAAGTAAAAGCCGATATTTTAATCATACACTCCATAATTCACGTCGTATAATTTAACATTATATAACGCATTATAGTATCAGTTTTTCATGGTCAGAACCTGTATTTCATGGTCAGAACCCGTATTTCATGGACAGCAGTATCCCTCCATCTATACGACACAGTTCCATTAGCCTGTTTACCATGGTAGAGGCTTTCAATATCATCATTCAATTGCATAATAATTTCTTTCAGCCATGTTTCGTCCAGGTTCGCAAAAAAGAACCACCGCATCCGATCCGCGTGGCGAAGACCATCGACGTGATCGCGCGGATCACATTCCCTACTGCCTACGCCGTGTTTCTCATCTTCTTCTTCATTCACTATAAAGCGTTCTCTTAATGCTGCCTCTGTTTGTACCGCTGACGCTGGCCGCTTCGTGTGAACGGACTATTACTGTGTTTTTTTTATATTTTTTGATTATATTATTTATAGAAACACAAATATGTATGGGGTTAAGTCACTCATTATTATAATACATATTTGATGAATTCGTTAAGATTGTGACTATACCCGTATGTAGTGATCGTATTTTTAAGAATTATAGTTTAAGAGATTTGGAGCAGAAAGCTACCGTCGCAGCTTTCCTTAAAAACGTCAATGATAAAAATCGAGTGATGATTACGATTTTTCTACAGGTTTTGAAATAGTTTTCTATAAAAGTTCATAGATGGACGTTTATAGAGAATACCTACGTGGAAGATTTACTTTCATGTGAGTACACGAAAACTTATGATAGGATAAAGAGGGATCAATAACTTATGTAATTGTATGAAATTTCTTGTATCAATGTGATTACACCAGACTTTGTATAAAATCTTTGCGGATAGTTATTCGAGTGTCGGAGTTAATACGGATCGCTGCCTTCGTTCTGTAAAGTTAAGAAATCTATTTCAAACCTAAAGACAGTCCAGACGTATTGTATCGCTTTTAAGTTAATTAAATTAATTAGTAAGATAGCAAAAGACATGATTACTTTATATTTATTAGATAATAATCACCATAGTTATAGTTTTTTTCTGATTACCAACACCTGCGTACGTTGTGATAATTATAATAATATTCACCTACTGCTTTATAAAAGTGAGAAGTAGAAATAATGCTGTATTATTTGAACCAAAGTGAATTAAGTTTGAAAATAACATAATTCGAAGTATTGTATAAATAGCTGTAGATGCATAGATGAAGCTCAAGTCTTTATTATCTTTATATTCTAATATAAATAATACATTAGTTGTACCAAATGATTTCACGCTAATTCCAGAGGTGTACCGGTTCGTGTATACCTACTAAGTTGATATTGTACCACGAACATGCCTTCTACATGTCAAAGAGTTATTTTTGCCTGATGTAATATTAGTAGTTATAACAAGAACTGGTGGAAATAACGCTGGCTGTAAATAAAATTAAACTACACCTGCCAATACGTAAGGTATACTAACCTAATAAAAGTATATATTGTAACTAGATACTTATAAGTATCGTGAATATTGTGCTGTGAGACCATACCGTCACCTAATATGTTGCGTAAGTAGAGTTTACTTCATCAAGTTAAGGTATTATAAAAATAATAAATTTATTGTTCTCTAATATCACCATCCTAGATATTATAACGTAGTTAACATTTTGAAACTTTCGGGATTGTACACAAATTATAAATTATAGACAGCGGGTCTGAATCTTTTAAGCTCTTTAAAAAATGTTAATATTCCCAGTAATTAAAAAAAAATAGTTGGCGCCATCATTAAGAGAGTTCGGCTCATCCAAAAAACTTGCTCATAAATTAGGGTTGCCAACCATCCTGTTTTCCCCGGACATGTCCTAGGTTTTGTAGTGTCCTGGGACTTCCTGAATAGTTTTTAAGCAGCGTCCTAGGTTTTTAAATTTTAAAATTCTCGCGCCTCTTCTCAAATTTTAGGAAATAATTGGGGTTGAAAAGTATAGTAAAAATTAATAAATTTATAATATTAGAATGTATTAGAAACTATAACCTGAGTTTAAAAAAAATCTTACAAACTGAAGTGTTTGTTTTATACTTTAGTAAGTAGTTTTCAACTCGTATAATTTTATTCAATTCATTTATTTAAATTTGAGGTTGGCAACCCTATCATAAATAAACGTTGTCAAGAGGTAGAGTAGGTAAAGTTCAAACATAACTAGTATTGAAAGATCCTTGTGCGTTGTGGTAAATTACACAAGTACAAAACTCAATGCCATGTCGTATAAACATTACCTCTCTCATGCAGAAAATACGTAGTGGTGCTAATGGAGGTTGGGAGATTTAACTTTGAGCACAAATGCTGTGCCTGAGTTGTACATCAGGGTACCTAATATGATAATATCATAATCATGATATTAGAGTACTAACACCGGGTGATGGTTAGCGACTTGACGCTAAAAGTATGGTGGAGTAGTAGTATCTTCGCTTTAGTAGGAATTTTTGATCTTTGTAATAATCGATTCCTTTGCTGATTAATGTACAACATCATGAATTAGCAATCGAAAAATAAAAAAATCGAATTGCAAAGAGGTTGATATTTTATTATGGGAAATTTAAAAAGCAGACCTGTTGCCTACATTTATAATAATCACGTAGTTATCACGAATGCTAGATGCCGATATACATTTAGATATAATTAATTAATCTTAAAGAGAACTTATAATCAATCTGTTTGCGCTTATTCGCCCAACTTGTCTTTACAACGTGTTTTATTAAAATACCGACTTATTTATGGATAAAAGTAAATTATTTTCTCTATGACAATGTATTGACTGCGTAATATGTAAATTAAGTTCATAATTACTAAATTGAGTAAACACCATCGATATTATGCCTTTTGCTTGTTATAAGAGTGGACCAACGCGTCAACGGTTTTGAAAATAGATTTTATATCAAAATTATTGTAATTTACAGTAACTTGTAAGGAAAGGCGTTTTGGCTGTGCTTTGAAACAAATATTATATATGTTAAATTTGTACAACCTTTTTTTAACGGGTGGTCAAGGTTGCAGAGTACTTAAGGTTGAATAAAAAACAACGCTTTTGCTGTGCCTGTTAAATATGTTTGTCAATCTTAAAAACTTGATTGAAAATATTTGAAATGTCTATATATATATATTATTGGAATGAAAACTAGAACGTTATCTTATGAACCTGTATTCAATAGGCGTAATGAATGCGCTATACCCATTTTACGTTATGTAACGCATATTCTTAAGAGGCTTATAAGAGATTAATAAGAGAAATCCTTACTATATCTAACATTGCAAATACACAAATGCCTCTAATAGAAAAACGACTTAAACGCGGGTAATAAGTCATATTAGTCGTGTATAAATATGTGTGGAATTATAAATTTAATTATAAATTCTTAATAGACGATACTCGTGACTCAGACCCGAGCCATTTATTTTTAGTGATTCAGTCAATATTTCTACTAAGTAATTTGCTTTCTGATATGATTTCCTCTTTTATTCTTCTACTTCTATTCACACGGGATAACTTTATTAGTTCTGTGATTTACAGATCCAAATCTGGATATTCGCAAATGTAATTTCCCGCCTATCACTAGAGCGGGAAGAAAATGTTAAACTCACACATTTCTTTTCCTCTTTTTACAAGCTTTTCACATAACTCTACTCAGTGGCTCTTAGAAAATGATTTACTAGTGATGAGCCGGTAGGTTTGATTTACATAATATTACATAATTTCTATTCAGTATAGGTATCTGTCATGCACTTCGAAGAGGCTGTCATATTATCATTGTAATTGCGGCTGAATGGTCTCTCATTGATAACACAAACTCGATCTACCACTACGAAACTACGATCACCATTGGTAGATTATTTTCTCTTTTTCTATTCCCACGATTACATAAAAGATATTGTCTATCATATTTTATTTAGTTACAATATAACTTGAGTAGGACCAATACATAATAATATGGCAACAAGTTTTGGCTATTTCCTCTCGTTATCTAACAATTATAACTCACATAACTCACACCTAAAGTACAATGAGACCATTCCCTATATATTTGAATAGACACGTGATACTATTTAAATTCGCTACTTTTTATAGGTACTATTTAAAATGTAAGATTAAAGTAACATATCATTCGCTTTATAAGATTCAACAATGTACCTTTAAAATATATATTGTGCTATCCTGTATAAAGTAAGTTATAATATATATTCTATGCAGCCTTCAAACACACACACACATATATATATATACATATATATACTACATATACAACACGTGTATATGTTGTGATTGTTATACTTATAGATAAGTATTGGGTTATGGTGACCTTTTTTCATTGGCTTTAATACCAACATGTTTTTGAATTGTGTCCTTAATCATAGATTACTGTTGATAGTCAATCTACGAGGGGTGATCAATAAGTAATGATAATCGAGTATTTCTAGAACGCACAAAAACCCAAATTATTTTTTTTCTGCTTGCTTATATATCCACTACTTCAGCTTCAAAAAAATGTATAAATAGGACACCATTACCGGGAGATACATTCATTTGAATACGAACTGTCGAAGAGAAAACATCAAAATGGAGAAAAATGAAATAAGAGCTGTCATCAAGTACCTCTGCCTGAAAAAAATGTCTACCAAAGACATACACAGCGACTTAGAGGAAACATTGGGGGAGTCTGCTCCTCCATATTCCACAGTCGCACGCTGGGCAAAGGAATTTAAGCTGGGCAGAACCTCCACTGAAGATGAACATCGCGAGGGACGCCCTTCCACGTCCCTTACTGGAGAAAACGTCAAAAAAGTGGAAGATATCGTATTGGCCGATCGAAGGGTGACCGTAAGGCATGTAGCTGAGGTCACAGGGATCTCCTATGGCAGCGTTCAAAAAATCATTGTCAACAAAATGCATATGAAAAAGGTCTCTGCGCGTTGGGTACCGAGAATGTTAACCGACGAGCAAAAAAAGAAACGAGTCGACATTTCGAGGGTGAATCTTCAAAAGTTCCAGGCCGATAAAGAATTTTTTTTGTCGCGTTTTGTGACCATGGACGAGACCTGGATCCACCACTTTGATCCCGAAACCAAACAACAATCAATGACTTGGAAACGAGCTTCCTCACCAACGCCGAAGAAATTCAAAGTGTCAAGTTCAGCGGGAAAGGTTAGGGCGTCTGTTTTCTGGGATGCAGAAGGAATTATTATGGTGGAATATTTGGAAAAGGGGGCCACTATAACAGGCTCTTATTACGCAGGCCAAATAAGAAGATTGCGAGAAGCTATTAAGTCAAAAAGACGCGGTAAACTGCGCGCTGGAGTGCTGTTTCACCAAGACAACGCCCCAGCTCACAA